GCTTATGAATCAGGTCCCTGAAGAGCTATAAAAGCGAAACAGGGTGAGAGATGGTGACCCCATCCCTCTGTTGGACCTTGATTCGCTTTAACAAGCAATACCGCAATCCTCAAAACACTTTTGAGGTGAGTATTCTTTTACTCATACTGTGTACCCCCAACGGCTTCGCCGAAGGGGGTACACCGTCCTAACCCTAACCCTAAGTCTCTATGCCCATGTCACATGCAAATGGGCATAGATTTGATATACTATGAAACAGACATGCCCCATACCAAAGTGCATAGACTATGCACAAGATAGACCACTGTGCATTCACAGTACCACCCTGTACATGGCCCATGCACTGGGGGAGGCACTCATTGCATTTCACAGTCCCACCACTGCTGTTCTGTATACTGCCATTAGTTTAAACCCTAACTTAGGGTTGCTTCTGAGGTTCTTCTGAGCAATTCATGTACCACCTACCCATAAGGTGAAATAACTCAACTTGCCTATTCCCATATTTTAAAAACCACATTATACACCCAGGATAAATGTCAGAAAACACCACACCACATCCACCAACAATCACCAGCATCTCAGTGAAAGAGTGATCAGAATGAAGTATCTGCCGACTCCAGATTCGGGAGAGACCTACAACAAGCCAATGGATGAAGTGATGAAAATGACACCTGACTGAATTGCAACATTTCCATGAGAATTACAGGAAGGGATGGACCTTATTCTCTTAGCCTTGCAGATGCAATTTGAGCAAGTGACTTTATATTCAACTAGAAAACGAAAACTCACTTTGCTGAAGAAATTAGAATTTTCGCACGGAGTTGCATGTCGACATCGAGAGAAGATTTTTATCATGTGCAATTATCATATGTCATGAGCTTGAAATGAAAACACAATGAAATAAACTCGAGCCAATCAACTTGAATCAGATACGTAAGGCCACGTTTTTTCCCATCTATGAGAGTGACTTCCTGGTGGATGATTAGCGCCTGGCCCGATTCTCATATGTCCCAGGCATGCAAGGAACACAGTCATATCATTTCCTGGTTTCGCACTTCCATGAATACCCTCAGACAGTCCATTCTTCCCCAAGAGCGCACTGACATATGAATTCAGCATTACTCCCGCCGACATGCAGCTGGCACAGGTGACGCCCTTCTGACTGAGAAATGCCTGGGCATTTCCATCACCCAAGCGCCAGGTGAAGATATGGAATACCTCGCCATTGCTACACCTCAGGAGGTCTTTGTCATTTCCCTATTAGACAGAAACATGACATTTCCCAAGGACGAGTCGTTCTGTACCTTACTTTCAGCGAAGAAGCCTGCTCTCGCTGGATTCGATATGCCACAGCTCTCCATTCGGATCTATTGCCATCTAAAGTGCCATGTCCAAGGTATCGACCTGTCCACCTTCCATTCGAAATCACCCAGAAATCCATCGTATCCTTCAAAGCTCCTCTCTGAAACATTCTCAACCAAATTTGATCGTTTCGCAGTTGACAGTCTCTGGAATGACAAGCTGGATGAGGCTGCGGATGAAAATATTAGAAAGGTGTGCCTTCAGGCATGGGTTTCTGCTGTGTAAGTATTCCTCATGTTCTTTCATGACACGCATCGACAGATATGTGAAACGTAGTATCATCCAAAAGACTACAAGTGCTGCCTCTCTGACAAAGCCGGTCCAGACTCGATGGCTTAAGCGAGAGGCAAGCCAACTTTTTCCTTCAATACCGCTTACTATACTCATCTCAATATCAAGGTTATCGAATGTCTAGGTCGCCTGTTGCTTGAGGCCAATATTCTCGAGCGCATCAAACCCACGGAGATTTCTAATGATTTCACTGAAATCAATATAAATACCAACGGCCAACTGCATCTGCACAATTCCCGATTCAACACACGGGTACGTGCAGGTAGACAGGTACGCAATTCCACGTCTTAATTTTGTTCGACATATAACATTGCCTTGAAAGCTCGCAGTCGTTCTGACAAACACAGATGGCCATGAATTCAGGGGATCACCAATAAAAGCCCACGGAAAGCGAACCTACATTAATGTCTCTGATCGCTTTTACGGAACGGCGGGTAGTGTTAAAGTCATTGGTAGGGAGAGAGCAACGAATGCCGAAAAGGCTCGAGACATGCTTCTACTTCATGTTTTACAGGGCGAATGTCATCTTATGCATTCCAAGTTCGTAAGGATGCTTTGGTTTCCGAGCAAGGATGATGAGAAGGATCTTTTTGCTCCCAACGGTCCAATGAACTCTATTTCCGGCAAGAAATTGAACAGATCACAACAGAATGTGGTATCGACCATGATATCTGACCGGCCACTAGTCCTAGTCCATGGTGAGAAACTGTCAATACACGTGACACATTGACTAAGTAATTCCACCAGGTCCACTGGGAACTGGTAAAACATCGACGATCTCTACAGCAGCTGAAATCAGGGGTCGGATAAATTCACCAACATGGATTGTTGCACATTCGAATGTTGCTGTAAAAAACATTGCGGAGAAGTTGGCGTTATCCGATGTAGATTTCAAGATTATCGTGTCCAAGGAATTCTATGTTGAATGGTGAGCAAAGGACTCGTTCGTACTAATACTCTCATTAATTTTCCATTGCAAAAGGCATGAACATCTTTACACCAAAATCAAGGACAGATTGATTCGTGGAGATGAGCTTCCGATCAATCCAAAGAGCCTAGGACCAATTATCGGCAAGTCGCATATCATGCTATCGACATTGAGCACACTCTCGAATCCAGCCCTGGACAAAAATGGGATGTTCGAACTAGTGCCTCCGAGGAGTCTCGTTGTCGACGAAGCTTCTCAGATCAATGTCTTTGAATATATGGTCAGTGACAATTCGCCTTGTAACATGAATCCCAAACTGACAGGATCTTATTGCAGCACATATTCTTTAAATTTCGGAACATCATGAAAAAAGTCTGCTTCTTTGGTGATCCGAAACAGCGTGAGTTACTGTATTCCATCATTGCGTCAATACGTATCTCATGTATCTTGATTGCCAGTCCCACCGTATGGGAAGGACAAAGTTCCATCGATGCAATGCATCTTCGACGTCGACCATCTGAAAGATATGTCGCAGATTTTGGATATTCAATGTGCGTACCAGGGATTACTTGTATGTCAGGCGGCTCATCTGCAGCACAGACCGTATGCCTCATCCACTGGGTAACTTTATTTCTCGAGAAGTCTACAACAATCGACTCCGCTCCTAGAACCAAATAACAGATCCATACTGCATCGCGTTTATTAACACCAAGTACGGCACTGAGGAGAAATCTGGTTTCAGTTGGCGGGTAGATACATGGACCCCGCGTTTCAGATCGAAATAACTGATCTGTTTTGTAGAATCATGCGGAAGTTCGCACGATCACCCACCTCGTTGAGCATTATTACAAAAACCATAGTTTTTGCGTGATCACACCGTATGACGCCCAAAGAGCTGCTATAGAAAGAGAGCTGAAGATGCAATGTCTGCCTTGGGAACGGGTATTCAATGTTGACAGTTTCCAAGGTGACTACAATAAGTCCTCTGACACATGAAACTTATGTTATACATACAGGAAACGAGGCAGACATCGTCCTAGTCTCTGTCGTCCGGTGCAGCGATCCCGGGTTCCTACGCTCCGACCAGCGAATGAATGTCATGCTCACACGACGTAGACGAGGTCTTGTTATTGTTACGAACCGCAGTTTCCTCTCGGGACCCGGCCAGTCAACCCTCGTCGGGAAACTGGCTCGTGACAGATCCTGGACGCAATGTACAACTGTTGCAGAACAACGGGCGAACCTCCCAGATGCTAGAGGGCGTTATGCCCCTCTCCATGCTGCCACTCCCACCGTTCGGCTCGATGTGAGACGTCCGAGCTTTGATATGAAAACCCTCTTTCCACGTCGATCTGTTGAAGGCAGTGATATCGGCCCGACTCGTTCGATTCATCGTACAGGTTTCCCGCCAGTGACACCGGTTTCAAAGAGTCGAGGGAGCACGATCTGGGACCATCTCGACGAGACAACTGTTCGTAACGCTCCCAGGAGAGTCCAGTTGAGTTCACTTGGAAGTTTGGGAACAACTCTGTATCCGAGTTCCAAGAAAGAAATTCGCCCCCCCCCACCGAGTTTGTCGAATTATGAACATGATTTCCCACCATTGGCGTCGTCATCGAACATAACTGGGCAGAGCCGTCCCAATCCCACAGTCCAGCCCAGTCCTGATGTTTCTTCGCCGGAAGTACCAGTGCAAATATTAGGAGAGACATCATCCTTAGCGTCCGGAGGTTATTGGAACATGGTCGTTGGCCGCAAGAAACGCGCAGACCAGTGGTATACCAATGAATACTGGAAGTAAATATTTGCGATAGTGTGACCATGTTGCAAGGACAAAAGTAGGTAACTGTCACAAGTACAAGGATAAATCCTGATCGGACAGACATGTTGGGCGGCGCCCTTTGGACTCCAAGTATCGCTGAATTTTACTTTTTCTTGATGACTGGTATCTCTAAGGAATTTGACTTTGAATTAAAATGTATTGTCGAAATAGCCTTATGCAAAGACAAAGCAGAGAAAGGCGAGCATTGGCTCGAGTCCCGAATATAGCATAATCAACGTAGATAATAAAATCGACAGAGGATATTGTGGCGAGGTCCCACCGACTGACTGTCTTCTTGTAAGACTCAGTGAAAATGAAGCAACAATTTTATCTTTATGCGGTCACGGAAATGCTGGAAAGACTGGACACATGCGATAATCCATATCTAGGGACGTGTTAGCTAGCAGAAGACCTCACCGAGAGTCTTTGCTCACGCGTCATACTGGAATGCATTTATGCCACTAAGATTTGAAGCTCCTGTAAGACGACTCGACTCTCCTTCTCCCGTAGCTTGAAGCAGGATGAATGGGGGCTTCCAAGACAGTACCACAGCCACCAGCAATTATCATTCTCTATGTTCCAGAGTGATCAGGAAGAGCTAACGAATCTCTCAAGGTGATATACTTATGATAATCCGTTGTATGAAACGATACAAATGGCGCGCGACTAAATTCAGAGAAAGATCGTCGATTGGAGTTCTCGCGGTGAGAACGAGGAGATCGACTCTTCCATAACTGTACTGTGTAGCGTCTGAATTAAAGAGTGATTTGCGTATTATTTAGTACTAGTGTACGCTTGTCACGTATGATTGAACACGGATGAGAATTATAACCTTGTAAATGGAAAAAAAAATAAACTCACAAAGTCAGGTGTTATATGAAAGGGACACGGATTGATCAAAATGAGGAGCTGGGATGGAAAAGCACGATTAGAGGCCGTGTCTGAAGAAGACGAACAAGGGACTAAATGCCTTGAAACTCCTAAAATTGATCTGCGTTGGACTACGTTCGAGAGTCGCTTCCGTGATGGGTGACGAAGAGAAAGGATTATTGAAAGCCAAAGGCTGGTTCTTCATTTTAAGATGACCAATCACGGAGATATTGATCATCCCTAAAAGGATCGCTGGGTGCGTTATCCAGGATAGAAATTGGGACATCATTTCTCAGCTCATCCTGAGGTCCAAACGTCATCAGCGTTTCGAGTGTAGTACTAAAGCACTGAGAGGATCCAGGAGGTATTCTGAATCATACTCCACAGGCAACTGGATGGGCTGAGCATGGGAAATAGAGGTGTATTTTTCAAGGAACAAAGAACCGTAGGAGAAGGGTGGGAGGATGTGGATTTTGGTCCATAGAGTAGGGCATGATGGGGAAATGGTTCGCTTGGTTGAACAAATATGGCCGAGGGCCCACGGGCATCGAATAGATCTGGACTAGAGAGAAGGCCGAATATCTGGAGCAACGATTCTCGAGGAAAGCGCCGTATGGGTGCCAGGATAGACCTACAACCACGAAGGTCCTTAAGCAGTTTGTCGCGCCGATCTCGGATTTTAAGGAACAGAGGCTCGATCTTCTGCAGCTCCTCTTCAAGATGAGCTATATCGTTTGCGATAGAGGCTTGACAAGCATCGAAAGAGGAGAACCCATATCGTAGGAGTTGGGTAGGATCGACGAAAGGAGAATAAAGCTGTATAGCGTCGAATTGACATTTAGTGCAGATAGCCTGGATGACGTCGTCAATAAAATGCATAGAAATGGACGAAAACATGTGCGTACCTGTACCATTTTTTAAGCTTCTGCGAATATACGTAGAAGAGAATACTGCTGAAGTAGGAATGGGTTTGGTTGCTGTGTATCGTCCCTGTCCGAGGCTGTGAACGTTGAGATCAACCTGCTGTAGGCAGGATCCGCGCCAAACGTTTCAAAATGTGATATAGATCAAGGCGCGTCGAACGCTGTCAGCTTACGACCGTATCATTGAGTATACTAGTTGTCGGAAAACTCCGGTTCGCATTTGGTTATATAACACATACAAAAGAAATAAGGACTCGATATATTTACAATTTTCATCATGATTACGCCCGGCCTCCTTCTGTTCCCCGACTCGCCTGCCACGTCTCCGGCCCCTATCCCAAAACAGTGGGTACGAAGACTCGACAGCGGAATGTGAAGTACGTACCGTCCTATTCTTCATCCTCTGGTTCTTGATCCTCCTCGTGAACCACTCGTGTGCCGTTACAGGAGTATTTAGCTGATCCGCATTCTCGACTGCAGCCGCAATCATGGCACTCTCGTCTACGAGAGGTCGGAGCAAGACAGAGTCTCCCGGTCTGGTGAAATAGACGAGAGACCAGCGTTCGAGATGGCCTTGTGGACCGGGGGGAGGGCTGAACGCGTGATTGTCAGTCGATGGGGGAAAGGAAAAGAGAGTTCTTACACTACTCGATGAATATTGGATCGCAGGATCCCCCCGCTGAACAGCGCCAACGCGTCACCAACGTTGCAGATAGCGTGTCCCGGAATAGGCTATCAAAAGATCATGAGCCGTCGAATATAAATACCATCACAAATTTACCTTGACATACTGCCATTCTTCATACCCAGGTGGAAGGACCTGTAGCCCGCCAAGTCGGTTATGCAGGAAGCTCAAAGACCCGAAATCCGTATGCGCCCCGATGGCCATTCGATCGTTACTGTATCCTGCCGGATTCTTCGTCGTTCGAGCCTCACTCGAGCTGAATTCCTCCCGACGGTGTTTCTTCGCGAGAGACCCCTCCGGCAGTCGAAGCTTCTGGTTGAAAATAGCAAGGATCGTGTCGTTAATCTGTACTGACTTTGTGATGAAAGGCTGGATAGTGCTAGACATGCGGGCATTGACGGTACTGGGGTACTCCCGTCGAACAGGAGTGGGGTACGCTAGGGCATCGTCCTTGGCTATGTTGATGAATTCGACAGTGTCAGTGACTCCGCTGGCATCGACAGCATTGAAACCAGCGGCTTTATACCTAGATCAATGTTGGCGTTTCAAGTAGCCGACAACATGATTGATGACCTACCCAAAAGACATCCCATCGTCGCCCTGCTCATACTTCATCTTCTCATCCATGGGTAGCCTCATAGTCTCTTCGCCCATGTCAAACATGCGATTAGCCTCTTCTTCCAGGCCGTGATTCTTCAGACTGCACACATCAATTAGCACACAATGAGGAGAAGGGATAGAAATCGTACTCACTACCAAAATCCCAACTGCGTAGCGGCTCCCCATAGTCTCTCAATCTCTTCTTTATCGCCTACTTTCAGAAGGGCATAGTCGACAACGAGAAGCGGATGCGTGGGGATGTCATCTGGAAATGGTGGGAACTTAGATATAGCCATGATATGATAAAGAAGCAGGACACTTCTGGAGCTTAAAAAGTTCGTCAGTTGTGGTCACGGGAAGTAGCTGCGGTATAAATATTAGGCTGTTTGACGGACCTTTTCCGATTAGAAAGATGCGATGGGACTTCTATCATCCGAAAAGATCGCTACATGGCGTCCTCGGGAATGCTGAGATTCAGGACCTTTGCGTAACAAGACCGCAATGACTCAATTGCTTCTGATAAGGAAGTCCTGAGAGAGCATCTGTGACTGCTTTGCTGTGATGATTGTGTGGAATAGCCATCCAGAATACCTAGTGCAAGGTGAGTTCAGATTTTCGATTCTCGCATCAGAAGCGTGACCAGCACAGATGACATTGGTTGAGTATCAACAATGGAATCGAGGTTTTTCTGTGCTGCCGGTTGTGTCTGGATAAGGAATACTGCTATCGCATGAAAAGACGATACCGACTTCGATATTAGCAGTAGGATGCATCACTCCAGTGTTGCCCTAGCCGATGGGGTGACAGCTATAATCAAAACAACGGATCTCGCATTGTATCCATTTATAACGTGCTCTGGTATGACACTTCTGCAAGGATGAGGTCCAAGAAATGAATCTGCAATGAAGTCCGCGGGGCTCTGATTCAAATCGGGATTACGAGTGGTACTGCTTCAAAGAGACATGACCATGTAGATCTTTATTTATTTCCGAGTTGAGGATATGTTTTGGCTCGAGTTTCAACGCAGTTTTAGCATGAAGCTGATATACAGAGCATGCGTCAAATTCCAGTAACTGACTTTGACGGTAGCAGAACATGAAGCTGCTGCCAGGTCGATGAGGACAGAGATCGCAGACATGTCGATATAATTTTATTTGAATGTCTTTGATGGAGAAGAACGGTATGCCAACACAGGTGACGTCCTTCGGAAGGATCCATTGAGGATACATCGGCACCCCGGAACACCGCCGATCACGTGCACCTATGACAATTTTATTCTATTTTACCAGTCGTTCTATGCAGCACTAGCCTACTTAGTGCATGAATTTTCGCGTTGATGCTTTCCACTCTCTTTACAACTTTCTAGCATGGCAGGTTTCCATGGCTCTGGCGGGCTGCGGAGGAATGCAGATAGTACGTCTGCTATTCTGTTTCACAATTTTGCCAATTAAATTTTCTCTAGACTGCTCTATCGGTGGATTCTTCGTCTCTCCTACCAAGGAAGCTGTCATCAACTCTCCCGAACCAACGAAAACTTCCTGGGACCCATCATGCCTCGACGCCGACATGCTCGATATACATCTCTATGGCCCTTCAGTTTCGAAACCACGGATATATGTCTGGGTAGAAGTGAACAACGCAGAAGGAACATATGAAGCGACCCTCATTCCCCGATGGTGGAATTCTTCAAGCACAATACAGCTCCAGGTCGTCACCGTACCTACGGGGAATCCCCCTTTTCTGGCTACTCTTTCCGCGGGTCCGTTATGGAACGCAACGTATCAAGAACCTGAGTCGGGTACTCCGGATAGCGCTAATACCTCCAAGCAGGACTAAGGAGGTGAAGTCGTCGGTTCCGCTTCAAATTCGACGGCTATATCTGCTGAACAGATAGCTACAGCAGTGGTAGCCGCCGTGGTGTTCATTGCCTTGTGCATAGCAGCCTGGTTGATATGGAGACGTAAGATGAGGATAAAAGAGCGGACGACATGGACCAAGGCTGCGGATAGGAGAATGTCGATCATCAGTGTTGATTGGTCTGGTATCACTGCTGCTGGTGCATCTGCCGCGGTTCAAAATAGCTTGGTTGGAACGGCTGCTAGAGGGAGTCAGGGAAGCCGGCTGAGTTCCAGTTTCTATGCCGCTGTTGAGCAGGCAGGAGTCGGAGCTGGGCTGTATCACTATGAGAACGCATAGCATGGTACATCGTTGTCATGTGGGGAGCCTTTCATGGTGGCCACAGGCGATTCGAAGTTATTGAACGTTGATGCCCAGGAACCAGAGACATTAACGCCTGAAATCATGAGAGCGAGGGTCAACGATTGTGTGAACTGGTGGGCTATATCTAGGAAAGGTTCGTGATGTAGCTTTTTTACGTATTCATCTGTTTAAGCCAGTTTCTCTGCAGATTCGAATAATTTACGACGGCCTCCGATGACATACGGCCATAGCAGGGAATCGTTTAGTGGGATGTCCAATGATATCGACCATACTCAGACGATAGGACCTGATGATATGATGAGGCCGTATGCGTATCGAGGTTAAAGAGCCGCTCTTTGATCTGGTGATGGATAAGATACTGTTGTGGTGAGATCCCTTGATGGGAATCTCATATTGGACAACATTGCGTCTCACGGGGAACTGGCTGGTATGGTTTCAGACCGCAATTACATGTTTTAGTCTGTACTTCCATCTTTATAGTATTATACGAAGGAATAATTTATGGACCATGGTATCTGCTTTTGAGTCGTATAACAACCGATTACTCACGACATACCGCCTCGTATACGCTCTTCTGGACTGACTCGTTATCCTTTTATGACTTGTTTCTGATGAAGATTTGATATGGCATTATATAGGAGGTATTCTTTCTGATACCTAGATATCTAGGCTTGATCCAAGCAAGGCATATCAAACAACGCTACCATGATGTACGATGCAACAAAAAATGATACCTGCTAATAAGTGGTGGCAACCCACACTATAGCCTGAAGATATAGAAGAACAATGTACGTTCTACAGTATGGCTAGAGTATGTTCTGAGTTTTCCTGCAAAATCTGTGCCAAATTTGGGCAAGCCTGTACTGGCAATTGATCGGCAACTTGACAGGACCGGAATTGATCGAGGCAATCTCCGCTCAATTCAACAACATCGTCCCAATTCCTGTCGTCATCATGGACAAAATTGCTACTCTTAAATCTGTTATACCTAGTGCACCAAGTGGAACGCAAATGAGGATTTACTTATTCTTGGTATGTTTTACCTCATAAAATACTGTGAAACTCGTACTAAAGTACTTGGAAGTGATACCATGGCTCGTCGTTCTCGCAAACAAATGCCGATTAGACAAGGAGTTCTACGCAGAAATGTCATCCGTCGATTGCCCTTTTTTGAACAAGATTATTGGTACTGAGTGAAAAAAAAAATAGAAGAAACATGTCGCAAGGCCGTGAGTAGAGAATATCCCTGCCTTTACCATCCCTTTCCGATCAATTTTCAAGAGAATCAAGGAGCATATCTGGCTTCAAGACATCTCGATGTAGATGGTGAAATCACCATGTGTTGAGGCATTAGCGATCCGTGATGAATGCACGAAGCCGTCGCATAAGAAACCACAAATATAGAGTATATCGTCGTGACGAAAACACCGGGAAGGTACGTGAATTCGTCAAATTCGTCTGTATGATTGGTCTCATCGCTCTGTAGGTGATAATTTAGCAGAAATCTCTTCTCTACAACTTTACCATGGGCATTTTGAATTATCAGAAGGGTTGAAGACCTTTTTCATTCTTAACGGTCCAGCAGTGAAGATTTTGGAAGCGCCATTCATAACCTCTCTTCGGACATGGCCTATTACTTCCTTTTCATTTATGCATTCGCACTCGGAATCGCGCAGCATGATCAATGTGTCCATCATTCACGTGCTTCCAAGAACACATCACCACGTTTTGAATATACATCCGAGAATACACCGCATCCTATAGCACTGTCCCTCCGCCATCCCTCTGGCACATATTCTTTTTCATATCTAGTATCTATATCCTAAAGGTTGGTGCATAGAGAGAAACTGGTACTATGCATTGTTACATGGCCACACGTCGCCATGATGGATAGATGGCTCGGCTCAAGGAATCGGAGCTATCACAGAGCCTTGGCGAAGACGGGAATGCCCCCACATTAAGGCGTTTCTGTCGGCCAACCATTGGCTTTTCGAATCATCGTGTATCAGCCACGAATCATCCTCAGAACAGGCGATAGCATTCCATATACTTAAAGGATCATAACGTGCATCCCCCCCCCCCCCCCCTTTCCTGCATCTCATTGACATTCTTGTCCTCCAGGTCTTTCAATGTAATACTGGACATATGCTCCATTTCCCTATATGTCGGCAATGCTAGCCTCGGATCTTGACATCGTCGAGGCCTATCTGACCGACTACTACGAGAACTCCAATGCCTTATTTGTGTAGCGCCTCGCTTAGGATAGGGTGAATTCTTGAAAGCGATGACGAAGAGTAACAGGCTCATGGGTGGCGGAAGTAGGTCGGGGGGAGGAGCGATGTTTCAGGGAGCCTTTTTAGACGACGTTTATGGAGACGGATGCAACGATGCTACGAAATATACCGGGTGCCGTAGAAATTGTGAAGTGATTGAATCAGACAACTTAGAGAGTGCCGGCTGGTTGTAGAATCGGAGCAAAGAGGATCGACGGTTAGTGCAGCTTGTTATCAATTATTTGTATCTATCTTAACAGTTTGTCCCTGTTCCAAGTGACTGGGTAAACCTATAAGAATGGTTTCCTAACCTAGCGTCATTAAGGACAAAGAAGTCAGTTTATTTAGTTCCATACCAAATCTTTCCTCACGGCTTCTCCCCTTACAACCACAGTAGCGAAGAAGGCGAGCCTGCGCAAACTGCCCGTTGTCGTTCAAATTCTTGCCTCTCGTAGTCGATCGCAGCCTCGCCCGAGAACTCCAGTCATTATGGAGTTAGGTTGGAATCCCAAACTGAAAACGCTGCGTACCGATACCCGGTTGGGGTTATGTAGGTGTGGCGGGAGCGGCGCATACTTCGGTGCAGCTGATACTACCACTTTACTCCTCAGAGCGATGTCCGTCCCGTGGAAATGATGATTAAAAGGCAGTTGGATCACGAATTGAGCGGAGATATGGTTCCGTACTGCGGAAATGTTGCCGACAGAGAAACGCACAGTATGTCAGTGTATATGACGGTGGCGATGTGATGCTCATTTGTCGGGCTACTCCCAGAATAGCTATGGACAACCTAGATTGCCTTTTTTTCTTCGTGGTTGAGCATCATCCGCATTTTGGCGCTCAACGCCACGCTGACCTCAATGTCGATTGCACAGCTTGACCTTAACATGCATGTTCATCAAGGTCCATCAATGCCAGCAGAGCGGCAAAGAAAACTTTGCGCAACATTTAGCGTGTCCGGGCATCTGCATCTAAAGAATGTTCGTTCACTTTCACTCGAGAACGACGAGGAAGATCTTCTCGCCCTCTCGACAGCCGCAGAGCTCCTTCACATGCAGAATGGAATAGCTTCTAATCCTTCCCGCAAACAAGATTCATCAGTATCAGGCAGGTCCTTCCCATCTATATGCCGTCGTCGTCTCTTTGCCTTCTTACTGTATCGACGTCTTTGTAATGCTATAAGCGACTTTTGGGCTTCCTCTCATGGTTCCCGCAAAACGACGGTGCTCGCTTCTGTTTTTCAGCCTATCCGGGAACAATGACATTATTTCCTTTGATCCGAGGGCAAAGGGCAGTTCCACGGGTCATTCCCAACGAAGCGGGGATTGTAGGTGGCTCAGTTGTCCATGATTGGTGATTCTTCCTCACGATACGGACCGGTTCGCGGCGGTGAAATTTTTTTGCGCGGGAAAGGTGAAGGCCAGCGATTGGACAGGGTGTTAATTGGGCTCTTGATGGAACATTTTTGAGCTTGTGAACCTTTTTCGACGAATATCTATATCTGTGAACCCATGGGAGCGCTGGGGCAGATCCGGGACGAAGTCGAGACCCCCCCATGCGGCGGATTGATTCCCGAGGACCGACGGATGCTATACAATGATTCACTTCTCAGGAATGATTTCAACGGCGAACTCGACGTTTGAATGGGAGCTCGAGAGGATAGTTCTCAGTCGACCATGGACTGAACAGGAAGACGAGTCAACTACAGATGTGGCGGTAAAGACAGAATCTATGGCGACCAGAAGGGCTTCAATTTGAGGAGATCTACTGAAGGCTTCGGCCCTTTTGTCTGACATACTGAAACAGACATTGGCACGTGTTCTTGATGTCATTTTTACTAAAATGAACGTCCAATAGCCCGTTAAACCCCAGCTGGTTAGTAAACTTTACTTCCGACATCAGAAAAACGAATGAATTCACCGTGCGCTTGTATCAATCAGGAAATTGTAACATGTGCAAGGGGCGGCATAGAATTCAAGGTCGAGTTGTTGCCGGAAAACGCCGTCGTGTTCTCCTTATATTTCAACCTCCACCTAGTCGCGTTTATGGCTATACGGAGTCCTTTAAAGCTCATCGCGACTCCCAGGATTCATATATTGGAACCGTCTTTCCTCGTACGTCCAGGTTATCTCCCATTCACCTGAAAGCAAAGTAGGCTAACGCTGCTATTCTTTCTCAGGAAATTCGTACCAACGGCAACAATATGAATACAGTCTCCCCAACTGCGATTACAACCCTGCGACCCCAGTTCATCAATGACTTACCCGTGGAATTACTCTATGAAATATTCCTTTGGGCTATACAGGATGATTCTGCCGTCGACACGCGCGTCATCCAGTCTCCGTGGACTCTCAGTCATGTTTGTCGTCGGTGGAGGCACATTGCGATTTCCTTCCCATGTCTATGGTCGACTATACACGTAGGGTCGACGCGACAGTCGCTGCATAATTCTTTCTCTATGAATAATATCGAGGGACTCGGTACCGTGCTCCGGCGGTCTGGAACCACAGCCCTAATGCTCAGGGTGGAGTTTACAGACCGTAAACTCCCAGCTGGTCATTCACACATACGCGACTTGCTGAAATCTCTAGCGTCGGTATCACGTCGCTGGAAATCCATTAAAATGAAAGCCTCCATTTCTATATTCCACGAACTCTTCGAACGCGTCATTCTTGGGGCGCTTCCCCTCCTTCAGTCAATTCATTTCGAAGTGACTCCCAACTGCTACTGGGGCGCTACTCCCATGGCAGCTAGTCTCACTGCTACCCTTGAAATGGCGCCGAACCTTCGTTCCGTGACCCTTCTCCCATTCATCCCAATCCGTTTACCTCTATCCAGGCTAAAAGAGCTTACCACGAAAGACCTGACCCAGAACGAATTGTCGTCGATTATTCAGGAACTCCCCCACCTCGAAATCCTGAATTTCGTTGGACTGAGAGCCTGGCATGCCATCGGGTGGACACCCCCACTTCATGTCCATAGCTCTTTGCACAAAATCGAGATTGAGGGTATACAAGAACTCTCCCATTTCACTCTTCCTGCGCTTACACATCTCCGCCTCCTGAAGCCCTTCTGTTCATCACCACAAAGTCGAGACTGGAGGACCAACTTCTCGTTGGACATACTCAAGCGATTTCTCCTTCGTTCGGGGTGCTCTATCCGTCATCTCCATCTTTCTATTCATGAAGTTGGGCCGGATGTGACCGGTATCCTATCGCTCCTCGTCGATGCCACGGGTCTTCGGGTTGATGTTGGGAACCATTCTGTATACGGGGATCTCCTAAAGATGCTCCGAAGCAGAGAGGCGTTGCTACTTCCGAAACTAGACACTCTCGAGTTTTTCGGAGTAGAGATGTCGGAGCGGCATTTGGAGACCATTCTGGCGCTTGTCCAGTACCGACGGAACCACCCAGTTTTGCAACGAATAAAGAGCGTAGTTGTCGAGAAGTCGTCGTTCGTGAATGGCCAAAGCCGTCTTGATAAGACCATTGGGCAGCTACGAGAAGTAGAAGATGATGATTTTAAGCTAGTACGTGACAAGGCTCTTCAGAGATGAACTTTTTATTCACATACGAACAGGAGGGACCAGGGGATACTGGCCTCATTAAACATGTTGACGCTTCACAGACAGAAAATTCTGTCATCGTGATCCAAAGATGGAAACGACAATCTGATCGACATTATTGATAGCCCCCGCGACGCGCCTGGTGAACTGCCCGTGCCAGGCATAGCGGGACGTCGTCGCAATTTGAACGCGATTTTGATCACTAATGTCGTTAGCAAAGTGCCTTCGGGCCGGGGCCTCGTTTCATCAAAAAGTCATAGCTTCTTACCCGATGTGGGAAGGCAGCCATGCAAAAATCAAGGGTCCCGATCAACTTTCGGAACCCACAGTAATCGCGACAGATCCACCTTAACAAACGACATTCAGGATCAAAATCGTGGTCAGCGTTCATTCACCTCATTCACCTCTTTCCACCATATCCTCGCTTTCTTCCGCCTGGCTTTGCTTCGACCTTCAAGTCAATTGTGAGCTGATTTTCTTCCACGTCGCTCTATAGCTAAAATATAAACCAGGCGGCCATTAGCAGACATCAACGCTAACTCAAATTCACCCTGACAGTGGCCTGCAATGTTCGTACAGACGTCAGAGCCTCCGATACGCTGCCTACCAACCGAGCTACTCTTTCAAATATTTGATTGGGCCCTCGTCGACGCCCTGTCCGACAGTCGGTCCGCTGTTCAATGTCCTTGGACACTAGCCCACGTCTGCATGCAATGGCGACAAGCAACCCTTTCCTTTCCTTCCCTCTGGTCCAAACTTCGCATCCATATCACCGAAAGTTCTTCATTCATCCGTCTCGGCAGACTTACGCCTGTATCTCCTCTCGGATCCATCCATTTCACTGCAGGTCTTGACTATGCGTTGAGGCGCTCTGGGTCCCATCCACTATCCTTTCGCGTCGAATTTTCGGATTGGGAGGACTACTCCCAAGAACTTCTAATACAGCTAGTCTCTCTGTCTCATCGATGGGAAGACATCATCATAATCGCCCCCGCTGAGATTTTCAACGTCCTCTTTGACCTGCTCGGCAGCGCCCAACTTCCCTTACTCCAATCAATCCACTTTCAGTCACCATCACGATTCTATTGGGACGACATGCCGGCTAAAGATAGATGCACGGCCTTCCAAACCGCGCCGAAGCTTCGTTCAGCAAGCCTGAATCCGATCCTCATGTTGCGACTGCCCTCATCGCATATAACGGAGCTATGTATAAGCTATCCGGATCCTGACGATATCCCTATTATTCTTCACCAGCTGCCTTACCTAGAGTCCTTCTGGCTTACGGGTTTTAAGCCATGGAACATCGACCACCCAGTCCCAACGCTTCATCGGACGTTACGAAAAGTCGAATTGCCCTCCCTCGACCATCTTGCATTCTTCACGCTTCCTTTTCTAACACACCTCTCCATCTCGGCCATATCTCGGACATTGAATGGTCCGATCATCGCATCCTTTCTCAGTCGTTCATCGTGCACCATCTCTCACCTGCAGATCTCCCTAACCAGGACTGGACGAAACGTTCAAGACTGTCTCTCCCTATTTCGTTATGTCACAAATCTCGAAATCGGCATAGTGGGATATCGATATCTCTTCGATAACCTCCGAAGGAATCCATCGTTACTCTCCGACTTGGAAAGTCTTAAGCTTCTCGGCGATAGCATGCATCCTTGTAATCTTAAGGAGGTGCTTGCACTGGCAGAGGCTCGTTCGAAGACACTTCGCTTTATCGATATTGGTACATGTTCTTCTGTAGAGCCAACAGAGAGGGAGGAACGTCTTGAGACCGAGAGGCGACTCGTGGATGCAGGGCTTCAGGTCCATCTTGTGGTGAACGAGTGAGTTTTTTATTCCCTTCAATGGGAGATTGGTTCTAAAACATTTTTATCGGCTTAGGAAGCACCGGCGAGGCACCTTTTTTCATACCAATTATCATTGTATCGTGATGTAGGTAGCCAACGATACTTCTGTATCCTCCGTTGCACACAATTGGACATATATTTGTAAGAACGTGACACGCGTTTGTTCTTAGGACCTAATAGTATACGCAGTTAGCTATTTTGTAGACCTCACACAGCGTAGCGGTAAGCGGAAGTGCGGTGAGGGTGCTAGACGGTTTGCATTCAGTACATATAGTCCATCCCGACATAAAGGGGTATCGAGCTCGGCCAGGGGAATACGACGGAGCTCCTGCTTGTTAATCCAACAATATTTTCCACAAATCATGGCATGGCCAGGTCCTCAGTTACCTCCTATCCCTCAGGCCTCAGCACGAGCGGTTGAGGTGGTTATCAACACCGTTTATTAATTTTCTTCTTAATTATCCCCCAAGGTTAATGATCGAATAGGTGTAGTCGTAATGTATATTCACTGGTTGTCACATACGCTGCGTCTTTTCTTTACTCGATGGCTTACTTGCACTCGAACCGTCAAGTACTGGACGATGACTGCGGATCTTAAGAGCTGCTGCGCGTCAATTGCGAGATGCTGTGTTTTTCGGATTCGGATGTGGCACGGGCATGTATAACCGATACATAATAGTAGTAGCCAGTCTGCATCGCCTTCGATCGAAAGACATTATACAGGACATAAGGTCCCTTCTCGTCACCAACGACTGTTCTTTCACAGACCTTCACACTGACTAGTCGGAAGATACTTCCTATGTATGAGAAGCATTTAGACCTCATGGCGCCGTGCTGTTGGCCATCTGTGATTAGTTCCCATGTGCTGTTTCCCGCACAATACAGCATCACTTACCAAGGCATTGTAGTCATAGATAAATCCACAGCATGGGAGCCGCTTCTTCCTAGCTCTCCCCCTTCAATGGTCTGCATACTTCCGTCGCTTCCCTACCCCTGGGATGAAGGAGAAGATTCAAACACATAGTGACTCTTTCATGCTCTCCCATCGGACGGGGGGTCTTATAGTTTTGTTCTTTAGCTCCGAGCCATGGCCAACCGTTACATCATCGTCTGCGACCGCGGCAACTCAGTCATATTCAACAGATGAACCGTATGTCTCCCCGTACGTTATTCCTTCCGTCGACGGGCTGATGAAACGCTGAAGTAGGTCCTCATCCACCACTCGATCCATCCATCCCGGCGTCATAATAGGAATTGCCATAGGAGGGATCGCCGTCATACTCGTTCTCTTGCTCCTCCTTGTTTTCTTCCGGAGTCGTTACAAAGAGCGGAAAAGGAAGTCACAGATACCAGATCCGTACCTTCAGAGAAAAATCACCTGCACCTCTGATCCGACCCCTTCTCCTGAGATGCAGACATTAGATACACCTCCTGCTCCATCCGGTGTACAGGATAGTCATGACGACGTGGGGGCACCCAACGAAAGGGCGAGGCTGGAGCAGCTAGAGTCAATGGTCCGGCTGCTCATAACCGAGCGGCAGCGGAGCTGTATTTCGGAGATACACGAGCCTCCGCCTGATTATACCTTATCAAACCTCAGCACCGATAGAACTAGCTAATGATCAGTACGACTTGATTTTGCAGATATAATACATTCCTTGTCTGGGAACGATAATTCGGCATGATATTAACATTTCAAACTTGGGGCCCTCTCCCGCCCAGTTCAGAGGTACGCCTAGACAGTACGGAACGGTTTGTCCATATTCGGCATATCCTAGCGTAAAAAAGTCAATCGATTGTGAAACCGGTCAAGTATAGAGGACGCACCTCTGCCTTTGGGTCCCCCTTATTGCTCAAGAACGTTTTCTGCAACCTGTGCCGCCACTCGCGGACCTTGTGGGTCTCGGGATCGTTTGCCAGGTCGCCTGAAAAGCAAACTTCATCAATACCGTCGCGATAACAGCCGAAACGCAAAGGAAATGACGCACCCTCCTCATACCCGTCTTTATCCCTCTGCGCCTTCTACACTGCTGGTGGACTCGTGCCCTTCTTGCTTGTGCCGACGTCTTCATCAGCCTCGCCATCGTCCTCGCTCTCGACATTGTCCTTGTTCTTCCCACCTTTCTCACCCTTGACTGGTGCCTTCTGAGAGTAGATAACATCACAATCACTTCCGACCTTCTTGAAATGGTTCGACAGAAAAAATGCACCGTCTTACAAATTACCCATTTGAGTCGTCTACGCGAGCCCCCAAAAGACCGACAAAGTCACCGAGACTCTGCTCAAAATTCAACCGAGGATCGCAGAAAGACTGTAGAATAATCATGGATTAGACCGGGGCCATTCCGCCGAACAAAGAATCAGCAAACCTGGTATCTCAGCCCGAGCTGCTCCTCACTCAGCCCCATGCTCCCACCGAGACACTCGGTAACGCTGAACCCCTCATCGTTCAGTTCGCCAGTGAACTCGAGGCTGATACTGCCTAGCCGGCTACCGCACGATGTGTGGATCCTCAAGCAGGATGTGATCTCTCCAATGATGGCGCTGAAGTGGCGGGTCTTGTAGCCTGTCGGTGATGTGAGAGTGCTATAGTAATCGATGAGCAAACGCTGTCCGGTTGTGAGACTGATACCCGTACTTGCCATGTATAGGATCGCAGATCCAGACGAATGGATGGCCCGACCGCTTCACGGCCTCTATATGGCCTGGTAGGTGAGCATCGCTCTGTAATGGGTAAAACAACTGAACACGGAGAGACTCATACAAAGCTAACGTTATCCGCGCCCTACCGCGAGATCAGGGTTATCCTCCCGAGCTCCTTGGATGGATTGACAACTACCGCGTTTTCCATCAACCGCAGCCAACGTCAGAAGTGAGGCCAAGACCCCCCCCTACCATCAAGCAGTACTGCTAGCTCACCATAAGCCATCGATGGCCCGACTTTGATCCCAATCGGATTACGAATCCCTCGAAAATACTCAACGTAGGCGCCGTCAAGCTGTCTGGTACGATCCCCAATCCAAAGGAAGTGAGCGGAAGTCCTGTAGTAACCGTGGCCCGACGGGGATGGTCGAGTCAAGGCTTCCTCATAGTCGAGGATCAAACCTTTGTGGCTGACCGATATCAGCACCGACTAAGAAAATTTGCACAGGGGGGGGAAATTTTTGTTCACCTCGTATAAAAGTCGACCTCGCCGACGGTTCCTCTCCCTCCTCCTTGCTCGAACGGAGCCGATCTTTCTGCTCCGATCGTCCAGCTGAAGTCGAGCGCATCGGAAAGTCCATCGACGATGAACTCGAATTCCTTCCTAGAGGACGTTCATAGTAACGTAACGCAACGGTGTAGCGAAAGGGTTTACTGAGTACCGGCGATCTAACATGATTGAAGACCAGACCCTCGGGTGATGAAGCGAGGCGAATCCGGAGGTGAGCAATCCACGGACATGGTTCAGCGTTGCGGTCGAATGGAGATAAGCGCTGGGATCCGCATGAGTGGTAAATTGCATCGACGAGAATAGAACACACCTTAAGAGACGCTGTGGGTCCGGAGTGCGGTCGTTTGGATCCAGTCTGCTGAAAGGTAAGATCACAATCGCGTCTTTGAGAAGATCACCCACCCATTGACATTATCCCCTCTGGGGAAAAAAAATGGAATTAAACTGGCCCACCCATTCCATGTAATACTCTTCCCTACCTGAAGCTCAGGACCTTTTTCCCATTAACAATCTCAGTCGGACTACTCTTCGGTTTCGCATACTGCCCTGCAATGCACCCAATTCGCACCTGTCCCCGAACTCAGTCAAAACATAAATTACTGCCTCGCGAAAGCGCAACATACAACCGGAACACGTGCTCCCCAAATGAGGATCAGACTGATCTTGGTGGAGATGTTTTACTTTGAAACACTGGTATAATAAGCACCATGATCAAGAAGAGAATCAACTGTTGAGTAACCTGGGTACAGGCATCAAAACTCTCTGCACAATTGCCAGCATGCAAGAGGAACACATCATTCCACTGTACAAGACCCAGTTGGTACCAGAGGTGTTTGATCTACCGTTACATGAGACTAGGATCCAGCTAGGAGAGCATAGTATGCACTTCAGCAAGCATCACCAGTGGAGGTAATTGCTCCAGCTTCAAAAGTACACTGTAATGTATGAAGATGGGGGTTCAATGTGAGATGCAGACCATACCTTGACAGCTTATCAGGATCATCACAGTCCATGTACTGAGAAAGGCAGTCAACAGAAGAATGGAGACCAAAAAAAAAAAAACATGAACCTGGGCAATTGATTTTGATTTCCAAGATGACAGACTCCATTCTGCAGACATTGAAGGAAGAAACCAAATACAATCCAGGACAAGGGGACAGAAAGGGACAAGAATGAAATATGTGCTGGTGGTGGAAGAAGAAAAAGGGCAGTTGCATCACATCAGCAATAAGTCATATAGTGCCACAGTAGTTGCTGCACCTGCTCGGCCAATGAAAAATAGCCGACACCAAAGTCAAGGTTAGACTGCGAGGAAAACAACTCTCAACGCGAGATTGAGAACAGCGGGTAACAGGGGCACGTGGCCGTCTAATGCCCTTCCTCCGTCCCCAATTCTGCGAATCGGAATATTGTTCCGACGGACATTAGCGGAGAAAAGACAAGTGCTGGTCACACTCGTGACTCGAGTTATGTTCGGGAGGAGGACATTGAGGGTGTTCAAGAGTCATCAATTTGCCGTATGGAAAATACAAAGTCCTCCTCTATCCGAAGAGGAGAAATACGTTAGCATAAGCAACAGTCAAATATAGTAGCAGGCGCCAACAGACAAACGGGAAGAAGCAGGGGTGACACAGCAATTTTAGTACGACGAAGGAAAAAGCCTATAACACCGAAATGCAGGGAAAGATGCTACAACGTTCCTGTACATCCTAAACATCAGTCATTGACAAACGTTGGAAACCGGAGGACCTACAAAATTCATCCCATATATCACGCCGCAGCCTCCGACATCGTGACATCGCCTAGCATCGACATATCACCGGCGCCGTCTGGTCCAGGGAGAGCGCTCAGGGGTTCTTCGGTAGGAGGCACCACCGCAGGCGCTGTCTCCGGTGCTCCACCTTCCTTCCTATCTTCTAAACAAAACCAACGATTAGCGCCCTTCACTACAGAGCAAGACATCTTACCTCCATTAGAATTGCCATTCAGATCCATCTTCGCCGTTCCTTCCGCAACGCCATTCGTCGACTCATTCTTGTTTGCGTTCAAAACTTGTTGCCATCGATCAACAAGAGCTTTTGCACGCGCGCGAAACTTATACTGGTTATCATTTGGGATCTTTTCTTCAGCAAGGGCGGCAATGTGGCGCATGACCTTTCCGATCTTGGAGAACTGGAGGAGAAAAGGCTGTTAGTAGGGGGTATATAGGAGGATGACAACGGAGAGCGGAGGAGACCATGTGAAAAGCGAGCGAAAGTACGAATCGCCCGTACAGGGAATGGAAAGAGAAGCGCATCTATTAGATGAAGGGGTCCCACAAGGAACACTGAAAGCTAGACAAGATAACCGGGAGAGTGACGTCAAATAGGGAGCGGAACCCAAGGAGACGCTACGCCAAGGACCCAACAGGGTTGCTCAGGCTTGATATGATAATGGGGAATGATAAAGAAGAAAGAGTCCATACATCAAAGTACAAATACGACGAAATTTAAAAAGTTCAGGTAGCAAACGAAGCACCGTCCTTTCAAAAGATGTCCTCTAGGAAGCCAAGGAAGAGCGGCATGATGGTTGTTGATTCAAAGAAGACAGATAAGACCAGATGAATGTAAAAGAGGAACGGCGAAGGAAATGAATGCGCAAGTTCGCCCAAAACATGACAAAAACGAAGGGAAAATGATGAAAAGGCAGTCAAAGGATGTAACAAAAGGACCGGAAACGAGCAGGCCCATAGCGAAGGTGAAGAGAAGAGATGGGGGGATAAAACAGAGGAACACGGAAAGAAAACCCAGAAACGAGGTCCGAAAAGGGACAAAATCGTTGGTGGACCGACCAAACTGCCCTCGAAAGAGATGTAAGATGGTAAAACGGGCTCACCGTGAGGTAGTGAATAGTGATGGACTGGTACGCCTCGACGGTACGGAACAGTTCGTCCATATTCGGCATATCCTAGCGCAAAAAAGTCAATCGATTGTGAAACCGGTCAAGTATAGAGGACGCACCTCTGCCTTTGGGTCCCCCTTATTGCTCAAGAACGTTTTCTGCAACCTGTGCCGCCACTCGCGGACCTTGTGGGCCTCGGGATCGTTTGCCAGGTCACCTGAAAAGCAAACTTCATCAATACCATCGCGATAACGGTCGAAACGCAAGGAAACGACGCACCCTCCTCATGCTCGTCTTTATCCTTCTTGGCTTTCTTCGCCGGCGGAGGACTCGTACCCTTCTTGCTTGTGCCGACGTCTTCATCAGCCTCGCCATCGTCCTCGCTCTCGACATTGTCCTTCTTCTTCCCGCCTTTCTTGCCCTTGACTGGTGCCTTCTTCTTTGCGTCGCCCGTCGTGCTCGTCTTGCGCTTCCTCGCCGGGGCACCGCCCTCACCATCCCGCTTCCGCTTCTTCGGCTTTTCCTCACTCTCGCTGTCGAGCTGGTCCACCTCATCGGCGACCTCTTCCGATGCAGCAGCTTCCGCTTGCTCCGCTTTCCGCTTCTCCCAATCAGAAGGATCCAGCGCAACCTTATAGCCGGTCAAGAGGTCGCCGGACTTTTTGAACGGCTCGTTGATATACGCCTCGATTTCGTGTTGCTGGAGTTTAGAGATGTCCTTTGGTGCTAGCCAGGAGCTACGCGTATTCCCACAGTCAGCGAAGAAAGAACAGGGGCAAGAACTGAAAGAGAACGCACAAGTCGCCGGCAGGGAAAAATCGCACAAGGTAGAAATTGGATTTTTTGCCTGCGGGTCGGTCGTCGAGGACTTGTTGCGGTGCATCGCCTGGGTCAACTACCTAGACAATCCAGCCCTGTCAGCCACCAGACGCGCGCCCCCCCATCGCCAATGTCGAGCCACACGCACCATCCCAGGCCACGGCGGATACCCGCGTACTTTTCCCAGCACAATATCGCGAAAATCGTAGATATTCGCAGAGCCGGACGTTTTGGGAACTTTTGCAGCCTTCTTGCTCATTGTCGGACGTGATGTCAAGAACAAAAAATCACGGAGGTGGAAGATCAGAATGAAGAAGGAAAGAATTGGCTGGACCCTTTCGGATATGGGTCACGTGATACTTTGCCACGAGGGTCCGTGCGTCACTGTCAACGTCAGATGCCTCGTGGCATATCGGCTTCCGTAAACGCTTTCCTCGGATCTCCTTCAGCGTCCCACTGTCAGCTTCAACGACAGCCTACAGGATTGTCAGATAATATAATTCTATGACATACCGCAAAAAAAGGGAGGGGGAAGACATTCCGGTGTCCAACCGGGCGGAAATATAATTTTTGCACCCGTAGGTCCAGTGGCGACCTCTCGTAGGATATTCGGTCAGAGACATAGACAATGGTGACGGCAAGAGGTCAAGTAAATTTCCGCCGAGGCTCCTAGAGCAGTATGTTGTTTTGTTGTCCAGCTCCGTGTTGCGGATGTTTGTCTGGCCGGTTATCCGGGGCCGTCCCAATGCAGTCAAGGGTCTGCATCATGCGCGTCTTCACCGTGCCCAGTAAAGAAAATTCCTATGTTCGCTTCACTGACTAGGTTGGCAATCAAGGACGCGAGGGAGGTCAGGCCCATATCAGCAAACCTCGCATGAGTCACCTTATTCTGTAATATGGAAAGTGGGTCACCGCATAACCCGCGTCCAGTTGAGCCCTCAAAGTAAAATTGGTTGATTAAAGAAATCCTCGGTCGTCCAAAGGTGGTCAATCCTAACAAACAAGCTAACAAGCTAACAAGTAGTACAGTAGTGCTACACACTCAATAACATTACAATAGATAATTACAGTCAAATCAAGAACAGGCCCCTACGTCTTCAACATCTCAGATGGGGAGCCTTCATGACCCCTTGCAGTATCATCTTGCGGCCCAGGATGAGAGAGCCCAACGTCGCTCGGCTCCGGCAGACGATCCACCTGCACAAACTCCTGGCTTCATTCGACGCACATCGAGGCTCTGTAGATCGCGTGGGTGTGCAGCATCGCAATACCGTGATCCTCACTGCACCGGAAGAATTTCCTGTAATCTAGCAGAGTTCGGAGTCCTCCAAAGAGCGCATCGAGTTTACGTCCGGTATCATAGATGACAAAATGAGGTAGGTAGACCTGCAACAGAGTTCATGAGATAGAATGGCAAGGGGAGAAAGTGGTCAGATATACCGTGATGGGATCGTAACGAACGTTCCTTAGTGGCGATCCTGCGTTATGGACATAGATCTCAAAGGGCTTGTCAAGCAGTTGCCTATCTTGAGGAAGCCAGAACCAGCCGCCTCCAATGTTACGTTCGAAAGGCTCATCGAACCACATGTGTACGGGCTCCGTCACTAGAAAGAAGAATGAGCGGGCCTGGCGAGAGCAAAACAGGAATAAGAAACCCCTCTGTATGTTCTTCGGCGAGTCCAGGTCGCAGGTAAAGCGCGGTTTGTTCCACGCGTATTCGAGCTCGTCCAACTAATAACGTGCCTTACAGAGGAGAAAACTTTGCATAAAATAGGTGACTTACAGTGTCCCGATTGGTGGATTTCGAAACGATGTGGGAGAACTCGACGCAAGTCATCTCGTTGCTCGCCCAGGTAACTATGCGTCCCAGCAGATTTGCGGCGGCGAGCGACTGAGCTGCAAGTCGGGTCTAAGAGAGAGTAGCCAAGGAAGAGCCCTCATCAGAATTTGTTTCTTCTGGTTCAAGATCATGACACCACTGAACAGTGGCAGAGCTGGCAGAGCTTGTGGTACGCAGGTAGCTCATCGTGGGCTGATTGTCACGCTGGTGTCACCTCAACTAAACATGTGATGTTATTTCATCCGAGCTAAACAAAGGTTCCTGGCAGGTGACATGGTGTGTGAGTTAAATTTGATACAGCGCTCTCTACTTATTTCAATATTTAAACATAATAGTATGATTAACCAGCGCTGACGAGAACGGAGACTTTCGGTTGACTTTTTATAGCCGGACAATCGGACCTAGACAGCCGGTCGGACAACAGTCTACCGGACTTCTCATTTCAGCCTCGTCCTCAGGGTCTCAGCGATCATTCAGCACAGATCCAGCTAGGTCGAGAGGGATAATTTGTTCAAGCCTGAGAGAAAAAAGACATGGAATTCTTAACTAATTTACGGAAGTGGACTTGGCGTCATCGACGGTTTTTCCTTGAAGAAAACCTCGGAAGTCGGCAAGAACATATGTACTCTGGACCTCTGGTGTAAGTGCCGAGTCTCGACGGATAATTAAATAGGACTACCACCTGGGGATAAAGTTGACAAAATGATCACTCTCAGGATCCTAAGTCGGATACTGGGGATTGAACCCACAGATAATTATCACACAGACATTCACATTGGGGATTATGCCATATCCGTGCAATTTCAAACCTCAGAAGCGGATTTTATTCATTCACTGCGTATTGGAGCATATGCTCAGCACGGCTAGTCCAAGGAGGACGTCATGGAAGCCCAGCCCACCAAAGGTGCATGTAAAGCAATTCTCTACAGTCTCATACAGAGGAGGAGTAGAATGAACAAGAGACGGTCATACTTTCAACCCCCCGTTACTAAACATACCGATCTACTCACTAGTGACTATCGATTTCTTGTCTGCCTACATTTTTGAACGATCTGCTTTTCTGAACAGTGGCAGTACATGCTGAGACCACCTTCCATGATTCACAGATATCCGGACAACCCTCCTGGCCCTTAGAAAAGCGAGTTCTCGTGTACTCATCATAATTCAGACGAGTTTAAACACAGAGCTCGGAATATAGATAAAGAAAAGGGACAAGCGGGTTCGGAACATCGTTTTCATACATGAAAGATGCTCTATTAGTACCTTTCTGTCTTGAAATACGCCTATCGTCCAAATCTGCAAATATCAACCAAACGGAAATGACGAGGGCTCACCCAAATGTGAAAGCTATCTAGTGAATTCGGTTTCGCAATGTCCACATTGCACAGTGTCGTCCGATGCATCCTAACAACTCGATTTACCCTTGGATCGTCTTTCCTTCCTTAATCCTCAGGAACAAATTTATTAGTCCGATATGCGAACAGAGATAATCAAACATGGCAGCGTCAATTTCCCACATCGTCAGCGAGAACCTCTCCAGGATGAAGACCCCGTAACGCTTCAAATTCATCCAGAATCCTGGCCGGATAAAGTCCAGGTTCAGCGAGAAAGACTGGAGGCAGCGGAAGATAGGGACAAGGAATTATACTTCCTGCGTAGTTATTGTGATATTTCCAGTGAGAGATAGGCTCGTGAGACAGGAAGATCGACAGCGGTGGAAGAAAACATAGATGACAGGAGTGGAGGGGTTCCTTTGACCATGTGAGTGGTTGGAGTAGTGGATATTCAGCATGGTGAGATGGGTGCTCGGGCCGACGAGGATCCTCGCGTACTCGAGATTCCCCGTACCAAAATAACTGAGGAGCTGCTGAATGTTTAAGTCGGGGATTTCCGTAGGCTGGTTCCCATCCCAGCTCGTGAGGGAGAAAGTGATGATGTGACTGATGGAGGACCGAAGGGCGGGATTAGTTACGATACGCTTATTCGCAGCGGAACATCTGAGGACGAGATACTCTTCAGCAATATCATATGTGATATCGCAGCTAAGAGGCGCTTCTCATATTCCTTCTCCCTCCGCCCACCTAGAAGAGTTTTCCCTGGCAATGTCAGCGAGACGCGGTGCAGGTGCTGCACCACGTATTTCGCAAATCCCTTCTTCGAGGAAAGAATTTTGAGGAATTTCGATGGGTTTTTCTTGTTTGGTGTATCGATGAGGAGATTCTCAAACATCAACGGCGTAGCGATAGATCTGACGGCCTTGCATGTCCATCGGGGGATCTTTCGAGTGGTAATGCTGGCCTGCTAGAGGCACATACGTCAGGTACGAAAATGAAACGACACGAGAAAGCGACGATGAAGAGCTCGAGAAGCTGAACAAGGAACGATATCACCATCGAGGGAAAGGCCAAGGGCAGTTTTCCGTCTTTGCCCGCTTTCTCGTGGTCCCAATTTCAGTTTGTCTATCGCAGCTGTAGCCTTTTCCCACTGATTTCTCACCCTGAGGATACCATAGCCAGGTGGTCGGCTCTTTTACAGGACGCACAATCAGGCTATCACCGTGTCGATTCTAGTCGGTCACAATTGGAGCCAGTTCTTGCCTGATATCAAATCAGAACACTGGTACCAGGGATTTACTCCGCGAACATTATGGATGGACGGACGTGTTGACGCTTGTTTGCGAGTTGGATTCTATAGATGCATGAGTATTTGGTCCGGATTGTACTCAGTAATATACAATTACATGGGTGGTTGATGGAAGAGTCGGGCGAGGCAAAGAGGGAATGCAAATGTACAGAACAGATGATATGATCCCAGCGAGTTAAAAGACATCCAGCCAGTGAAATATCGATCCATTGCGAGAAGGAGTTACGAGGAGCCTTTACATAGCCAGTATCCAGCCCCAAAAGACCAGTTACGCGAAGTTGGGTAAGTAGTTATTCTAGGTCGTCATTTTAACTAACGTCATGACCACCCACCTAGGTGAAGGAAGGTGGCTCAGACGTACTTTGATCAACAAACCAGCCAGTGCACCGTTTTCAATCTCAAACAGGTGCACACTTTTTCTCCTTCCTTTCTGCTAGTCCAAAAAGCGGTTCTTCGTTATAAGCGAGATTGACCAGTTGTTTAGGCTATGCATGTGGGAGCGCCATCGGATGAACCGAACGATGGCTGGACTACGAAAAAAAAGGGGTACCGGCCCGGTTACGGAACCTACTCCTTGCAACCTTTCCTCACTGATGTCAGCTGCAATAATAGACACACACTCTTCCCTGTTTCTGCACCGTTCTGGGAATAAAATTTCAAGATACAGGCCCCTGTTTTCCGCTTTGTACCAAGGAGCATCTACTTCGGACTCGAGTCCTATTCCTCGTATCTGAATACCAAATGAGACTGAAGTCATTTTATGGCCGCGCGATGTAATAGAAAAAATGCAAGTGTCATTTACAGCGAAAGAACTTAAAATACTGCATATATGCTGATGCATCTTTGCCAAAGACACCCTTCTCACACCCTCAGCACTACTAAGATTCGCGTCGCTGATTGCTTGCACAGCCACATTGCTCTTCTATACGAGTCAACCATCATGTGGCGCTCGCGTTTGGCACACATCCGATCTGATGTCGCTGGAAACAATTTGAATGCTGGTGGGAGAAGATTCAGGTGAGTACCTTCTGGCCACTGGGAAAACGCGGAATTACTAACTCGCGACTTCAGAGCTTAATTCTTCAAACCCAGCGGTTAATGGTGTTAGTCCGGCTTTCACACCATTACATTCGGCTTAGGACTAAGGATACGATTCCATGACGACCTAAGCCGTGCATGAGATCCAGTTCACAAACCACGATGGTGCGATGTACGTCTCTTGTCATGCCATGGTGCTTATCGGACTTAATCCTTCTTCAATAGATGACCTTGGTCCATTCTCGACGACGATTCTGCGGCAGTGCACTGCTCGGATACCAGCCTGAAATTCGTTGATCCTTCGATATGCATAGCGTTTCTGAGACATGTTACTCTAGGAGAGGTGCCAGCTACATAATAGCACACTACTCAGCCAATCAAAATGTGAAAAGACAGCATATGACTCCGGAGTTGTCGGAATGAATACTGTGACCTTTCGCGTATCAGTTGTGGACCAGCTGTCGTGTACGATCCAGCAACACTTGTTTCCTGCTCCTCCCACCCATTCGGCATAGACCGCAATAATTTCCTCGTTCGCCGCCTCGCAAAGAAGGACATATTCTTCGACAGAGTGTATCATTTGCTTTGGATGAATGTTTCATTCACCATTAAAAGGCCGTTTTCCTCAGTTCCGCCCCTTTGCATGATATTGGGTTCTCCTTAAACATTCCAGCATACTTTGACTCCATCTTTCTCCGGGTGTTTGCATGTTCGTGTGAGTATCACTTCATCCGTTCTCGCAGCTCTGATATTGGAAGCTTCTGATGCGGAGCCACCTGATATGACACCCAGAGTTACCTAGGCGCTATGTTACTAAGTCGCGGTACTGCGCTTTTCTTTTGCGAGCTTTGATTGATCAGAGGCAGTCCAGGTGCATCACTCCGTATCTTGTTTCTCTCAGTGACTAATTAACACATCTTTAGATCTGAATATTCCGGCAGCCCAGATATGCCCAGCTCTATGAACTCAGAACGGTATGTGGATACACAGTTGACGCACACTTTGGAGATACCGGTAAACTCTGTTGGCTATATTATTCTGCACAGGTGAGATTTAATACCATAATTGACTCTCAGTAGACATGCCAAGTCGCCGCATGAGATTTAAAGGCGGACATTTCGATTCCACTTTTACAGGCTCTCAATGACCCTTTGCTGTTGTGGTGAAATTGCCTGTTGATTCCAAACGTAAGCCCATGAGATGAACCGGGCGTATGAACTAGTGGCTACTAGTTTCCGAAATGCGTTTCATCTCACCGAGTTTGTGGGGCATTCTTTTTCAATACAAATACGGCAACCTTCTGATGGTTCCGACTCGACACTGAAATGCGCTTCTTTCGCCGCTATTCGACCTATTCTCCTACATTTTCCGTGAAGAAGCTGCCTTTGGACCGTCAAGAGATGTCGACCTCCTTAATCTAATACAACTTGCTTTATCCCACTAGCAATCGTAACCTGGCTGAAACATCTGATGTATTGTTTATGAATCCTTCTCTCTCGCTATTGGGCCCAATCATTTCAGCATCTGAAGCGACCAAGTTACGATGAATGAATTTCATACACCCACCCCCCTTTCTGGCCATGAACTATTAACATCTAGATTCAGATTCATTTCTTGTTTCTGGATTCGTAACAGCTGTGACAGGCTAGAAGACTGAAGAAGAATGTTGCTGAATGGAAATAGTAGCCCTCGAAACAACCTTAACGGTGTAGGTTTGCGCATAGATACAGTGAATGTGCAGACCCTGAACATGTTCCGAGTTGATATTTGTGAAGTATGGCTATTTTTTACACTTTACCGTCTACCAAACGAAACAGTCTCTGCTCACATTTAACTAAATTCATAGAACCCAGCGGTAATCGGATATGGCGTAGCTGCTAACATGGCCGCATTTCGTTTAAATACGTGATATACCTGTGTGGTAGCTCGAGGTTCAATCCCTCATATCAGAAATTTAAGCACTAGAAAATTTTCTTTTTCTTCTCGATCCATGCAAGAGAAGAAATGCATAGGTCATTTCGCAAAGGAACGTACTTGATATATCCCAGCTTCTGAAGTAATAGTTCCCCCGCAGCAGCATATCTCTTTACAGAATATGAATGAAAGGTTCAGACCATTCACAGTATTTTACGGAGCGTTCCTTCGCATGCGACACGCTTAGCATCGGTACTCACTTGTAGTTCTAATTCGAGGAGAAATTTTATTCCAGCTAAACGGATGTATGCATTGTGCCATGTATGAGAGATACGAGTTAAGACATGATTGTTCTGAGGTCCAGACAACCCTGTAAATGCGGGCAAGGATGGCATGTAGAAGCTATTACGCCCATAACTCCCAATTGGAGAAATTCTGCATGTCCGCAACAGTTTCTGAGCCAATGTGAATCATGAATATTCCATGCATTATAAAGCGAGTACAGAGAAATTGTTATATCTATAACTTCTAGCTGTAGCATAGAGAATTCAACGCCTAAAGGACAGATAGCCGACAGATTGTTTCTGGTCTCCTATAGCTGAATCCCTGTTGACCTAAGCCATGGGTGAAAACCCATCAACGAATCAATTTTGATATGAGGTGTGGGCATTTTCGTGCTGCTAGACTTGCCTGATATATTCATTCTTCCGTAGTGTCAGTCCCCCTCCATGATTGTCGTAGGATATTTAGACCTAATATTTCCTCCCCTGTCCCCATAGCATTCCTGCGAACGACTCTTCTGGCATTCTGGGGAGATGCGCAGCCGCTATACTTCCTTTTGGGAGCTTTGATCGCTGAGAGGCAGTCCCGGTTCGTCACTTCGCATCTCGGTGCATGCTTTAGAGTTAAACCATGTTCTCTATATTATCGCGCAGAGCCAACGTTTTGATACCACAAGCCCAAATCCTTCTGACATCCAAATTAGCCACATGAAATTCAAATGTGGATGTTTCGACGTTGATTTTACTGACTGTCCAACCCATTGCTATGGTGGTCGAATTATTTGTCCATTTGTTTGGTAGATGTTCGCCATGAGATGAGCTGGGAGTACGACTAAGTGGCCACCATTTTTTGAAATGTGTTTTAGGTGACTAAGCTTTTGATCAGTTTTTCAATAAAACGCCATCGCTCGTCTCTTCGATGGTTTATATTCTGAAAGGTGCTTCTTTAACTACAGACGAAATGGATCGGGCTTTTCCCTGCATTTCATACGACAATGCTGGTCTTGGATCGTCAATAACCTTATATCCAGTTGAAGGGAAGTTTTTCGCCTCAGTCATATCGACTTCGAAATATCTTTGCACAGCTTACATAGAGGGTTATACCCCCGGGCAGGATATGAATACGCTTTCGTTTGGAACGGCAATCTACTTAACGACATCCTCTCCTGTACAATTCATCTCACTGCGCCTATTTCTCCCTTTCGTTTTCCATACCTACAGAAAATCTAGGCTAGAGAAAAGCACAGTTGTTCGAGAAATCAATAAGAAAGAAACATGTGAATTTATTACCGGTATATACGAGGCTGGTACCCGGTTGCCAATGACTCAAAGTTTATTTGCATATGAATCTGATGGGATGCTATCGATCCCTGGACCGGAAGTTAAAGTCCATATGGGAGTCCTATTGGACGGAATCCCCAAAATACGTCAGGCTGTCAATCAGAAAAGGAACTACCAATTCATGTAAAATGTGAGTCATATGTCACATTCAACCATTCAACTATCCCAGATTACGCATGAAACAAGAACAAGGAGAAACCCCACCCGAAGTGAAAGAATGGAAATATCAAGATTCGAGTTGGAATTCGTCAAGACCAGAGATTTAGAGATATGGAGAGTAGGCGCAGCATCAGTCTCTAGTTTGCTTTCGCGTCTCTCAGCGGCATAGAAAACGGCGCCCAAATCCGAATGGTTCTAGCAACTGGAACAGAAATAACCTCGCTCTATTACATTCAGTTAGGCTTTTCGGAATAGTGTTATACAGGACCTGGCTCGTGCTTGGCTTTCTAGGACCCGAGCTCTAGAAAGATAAAGCCCAAGCCAAAACTTAGTGAGGGACAGTTGTGGCCGGTGTTCCTGGCTTGAGCCAAGCCCTGTACATCGCTGTAATCAGGAAGCAAAAAAGGCTCTCCAGGAGAGACTATTTACGTGATTATTTTCTCGAACATAGGAAGGACATGATGGAAGCCAAACGAA